TAGATGTTAATATTTATAATTTTAAGTGTAGACATGCATAAAAACTTCTTGAAAATCGGGTTGTGGTTTGCATTCTTATTTTAGATTTGCCCCTGTTAACATCTTCTAAATAAACAGGTGCATACACTCCCTCAAGCTGTCATGTTGTTTATTTAGCCTGTATGCTTCAGAATCTATTGACAGATGATACCCAACCAGCTTGAAGTCTGACTTTCACGAACCAGAGCTTGAAGTTTTAATGAGACTTTCCTAAGTATGGTACGAGGACTTTGTCAGAATAGGAGCATCTCTCCCAAAGATACCATAAGAGTATCACATTTGTATGTTAATTTTAGTTCAACAAGTAGGAAAAATGATTATGAGTAATAGCTATCAGCTCTCAGATAGTTCTTTTTATGTTCAAAGTGCTTGACAAACATTAATTAAATCACTGGCAGTCAAATTAGATAAATATGTTCTCTGTATGTGTGTAGCTGTACCTTCCATGCACACAGTCTTCTAAATCACATCACTGAAGATCAAACATTTTTTTTTTCTTTTTGCCATCTGAACTTGGTTGGCTGACACTGATTCTAAGCAACAGATAATTACTGGAAGGGCTAATTATTAGGAGAGATTATGTAAGCTTTGGTTGTTTTTAAATACAAACAGGTTTATTCTTGATAAAAGGTACAGGATGAACCACAATATAAAAAGTTTCTGACTCTAGGCCAGAATGTAACAATGAAGAAGCGAGCTTCTTTACATTATAGTGTTAAAATAGCTAAACCCCAATTTAAACAAATTATTTCATCAAAACAAAGTATATCTTATTCTTCCCAGGCTACTGATGTTTCTGGCCTCTTTCAGTACCAATAAAGGAAGGCTTTTGAGGCTAAATATTGCGTTGATTTCAGCAATATAGTAACTTGTTCATTAATGCTCGGAATCCTTGGTTGCTACTGACTTGAGAAGCATTTGGGCCAGCAAATTAAACATAGTAAATTTCATGATTATTTTTAGAATAATTTACACTTTTTTTTCCTTCAATGGATATAATGAAGCTTCTCAAAGCATCCCAAGAGATAAACTGCCCCCACTGGACCCCAGAACGTAGTATATTCCAAAGAAAAAAGAGTGCTAATAGCATTCTTTCAATAGCACCTAACAAATTAACATGCTCTACCACCCAGCCTCATGCAATTGGGAGAAAGCAGGCACATGCATGTGTGGAGTCAGACTCGCTTTTCTTGAGAAGTTTGGCATGCATCACTGAAAAATGGAGGGGCTTCAGGTTTCTCCTTCCATTCACTCTGCCAAAATAGTCTAATGTGCTTCTATGGAAGAAAAATAAGAAACCTTACCCTAATCTTGTTTTGCAATTTGCTGAAGAAAAGAACAACTAGTTCAACAAAGTTGCCTCATTCCAGACTACAAAAGTACCACTGGAAGTCAGGGTAGCTGTTCATGGGTATCTCATTGAATACTACCGCCTTCTCTTTTTCAGAAATGCCAGTCTGTATGTCTCAGATCTGAGTGATTCTCTTTCTTCAGAAATGGAAACCTGGAGTTCCATGAGAACATAGGATGCATCCCAGGTCATATCCACTGTCCACATGAACCAGGCCTCACAGGAGGTAGTAAAGGTACCATAATTGATACAGTACCATAAAAGTCTTAGTGTTTTTCTTATTAGGTTCTTGCCAGATTTCAAGAGTGAGAGTGAACTTTCTGTGATTACATTTAGAAAAAGTATTCATTGATATGACTGATTTTTGGCCCAGAAAAACATACCAGGTACATCTTGAAGGTTTCAGTTTTTTTTCTCCTTTTAGTATGGAGACCAAAAAAAACAAAGCAAAACAAAAAAGAAACAACAACAACAAAAAAACAATAACAACAACGACAAAAAACACATATATGGGAATGTTTAAATAGGCCCCAAAATTCAAAAGTATTCCAAAATGTAAATGGCCTTAAATAAAATGTACATTGAGTTGTAGAGATTCTTTCCTCGGTGTTTAATACCTCCATTTCTTTATTTCTTAGCAATCCACTCTAGAAAGACCTTTTTCCTGGAGGTCAAACATAGCATTTTTTATTATCAACCAAACATTTTGAAACGTTTTTCTTCTTGACCTCTCTTCTGCATTTTATACCAGACTCTAGCCTATACCTAAACTCCTAATACTTGGTCTTCTTGACATTTTCATCTTCCTTGCCAATCTCAACATCATTATTGTCTACTACATTATCACCTCCTGCCTGTATTATCATGAGGACTTCAATTAGTTTTCCAGGTCCCAGTAGTTCCTTGTTCAAATCTGTAAAAGTGCCTAAGATTCCAAATGTCCACACTTTCAAGTCTGATTTCAAAAGCTCTTCTACCTGCAGCCTTATTCTTTCCTGCTTCATTGCCTTCACTTTCCTCCTTGCTACTTACACCTTCTCTGGCTTTTAAAACAATAGTATCACACACACCAAATTTGACTCTTAGGGCTCCATGAAAGCAAGAACTTTACTTAATTCCTTTACCTCTAGTATCTAGAATAGTACTTAATCATAAATGAAAATTTGTTGAATGATAAACCTTATGGATCATATCACTTCTAATTCATTCAACTACATTCTTCATTATTTTTGTTTAAACACACTTTGGAGTCCAGGAGGGTTTTCTCACTGGTCGTAGAGTTTATTTTCTATTTTATTAAAAAGAAAGTATTGAGGGCTGGGGATTTACTTCAGCGGTTCAGCCACCTGCCTTGCAAGTGCAAGGACCTGAGTTCGATCCCTGATACAAAAAAAAAAAAAAAAAAAAAAAAAAAAAAAAGACTTTTTTTGCTCCAGATTGCTTCTAAATGGCAGAGGCCTTGTTTATACTTATTTTTCCCCCATCTTCCATGCTCAGCAGAGTTCTGAGCAGCATTTAGTCTGTATTTATAAAACCCTTGATGATCTTTTCCTTTTTTTGTACCAGAGATTGAACTCAGGACCTTGTGCTTGAGAAGCAGGTGGTGGAACCACTGAGCTAAAGCCCCAGCTATCAAACCCTTAATGATATTTTCTATGATAACATGTACTTCACCACTGCCCTTTTACATCACTGGGGCTGAAATGGAAATAAAAATAGGTTGACCCATAAAACAGCAGCACAGGTCCAATGGTTAGTGACAGGGTAAGTGTTTTCTTTCGCATCTTCTGGTTCTACTTTGGTAGCAAACTACCATTTTTTTGAGAATGTGATGAAAAGGGTCTCCCTTGGGAAGATATTTGCCTTATCTGTGCATTTAGAAGCTGTCCCTATGAGTCACCATCTTCTCTTCTTAGGTGTTAAGAACCATGTGTACTGTTACTGACTCTTGCCCCAATTCTAAGTCATTTTACTCAATTGTTTTCCTCTTCTTTGATCCCTGAGTAAATCACTGGATCCAACTCTTTTCCTTAGTAGCCTCTGTGTCCAACAATTCTTTTAAAATTCCACTTGTTCTTCAGAACCTGACAAGGTTTTGGTCTCCTAATTTTGTTCTCTTGTCCTCCTTTTCCATCCCACAGGTCTACCCCAAATGATTTTCTATTAAACTAAAATTTTCAGACTCACATTCAGGCCCTTTATTGATTTTACTCTCTAATTTTGGGTTGGTTTGCTATTGTTTCTCAAATGAATCTCCTATTTAAGTTTGCTTTTCTCTTAACTTTCTCCCATTGTCTTCTTAGTGCCTTTGTTCACACAAATTGTTTTACCTATTCCCCCATATATCAATCCAAATGATGACTTTTGTTGTTGTTGTGGCCTTTAAGGTGTCTTTTGATTTTGTGTGGATTATTTTCCATTTTAACATTTGGAAATTACAAGTGAATCCTTGATTATTACTGTTGAATTACTATTTTGTGCTTCACATTTTACTTCCCCAATAATGTTGCAATTTTCTGGACAATAGGGATTTCATAATTCTTACAATCAGGCACAGCCCTTGGCATCTCTTAGGATGAATGTGTTTGGTTGGATCATGGCTCCGGAGCCTCGCCAGAATTGCTTGAATCATGCAGATGACCCCTGACTGAGAGAGATGTAGGTTTCACAATAGGAATCCTTGAAAACAGTGGGACAAATGGCCTCTGACAGCAATACTTTCCTAGCTAATGCCAAGTTTGATTTCACAGTTCACATGGATAATGTAGGCAAAGCTTCAAAGACCAAGAATTCTGATACTGAATAGCTTTATGTACGTGTTAACAATAAGCTGAATGCTGAGACAGGTCTGCGTTTGAATCCTGACTTTGCTTCCAATTAAGCTGGGTAATACTGGTTAGGGAACTTACCCTCTCTGGGCTTCAGATCTTAATCAGTAAAATGAAAAGTTTAGACTCCAGATGATCTTAAGAACTACATAATTCAATTATAAAATTGTGCGATTCTATTTCTAAAGCAATGAAATGGCAGCCGCACAGCCCTTGGGGATTTTCAGATACTTTGTTCTATGCAATAGGATTTAATAGTTTCATGTGCAGTTAGGAATTCTCAGTTTCAGCTTTTGGCATTTACTTTTTTCTGTTTCCCAATTTGTGTGAAAGTGGATGGACAGATGGTTTATTAGGCTTTCAAACGCTTGTAATACTGTTGTTCAATACAACAATGGTTTTAAACTTTGAAGGTCCACATAGTGTGGATTTTATTCAGAATAAAAGATAGTTTTAACTGTTCAATTTAAGGATAATGTTTACTCATATAACTTAAAGCAACTTGTGGATATAACTCCAAAGGCCTTTTGTCTTTTATTTTGCTATGAGTTACTCATTTCCGATAACGGCCTAACTCTTCCAAGTTGTAGTTTTAAAAGTGAAGTTTCTAAATAAACCAGATATTTAGTTACAACTGTATGTTTTGTCGTTGCCTAAATCATTTAACCAACATCCCCCCCCCCAACGAAATCCTTTAGGTCAAAAAATCACAGAAATTCAAAGGAGGAAAAGACAAATTCCTCATTTTATAAGAACACAAAAGCAATAAAGTTCTTGGCGTTCTTTCTAGGGTGTGTTTCATAAATAAAAGAGCTAAAGTGAGGTTAGGCTGCAGGGTAAAGAAACAAAATCAAAACAAAGCAAACCCCTCAAAATTTATGAATTAAGCCTCAATAGGAAATTTCGTTTCTTGAATTTGAAGCGGTCAACGTAAAGTACTGTACAGATGGGAGGACTATGAAAAAGAGATCACCACTGCCATCTCCTTGCTTTGTAATTTGTAACTACTTAGGGTGACTTCAAGTTAAGTGGGACCGTGAATATACAGTTAGTGGATACCCAACCTGCTTCTGATGTGTGGGGAATAGTGAGAATCGAAAGGCTGAACCGAATGCGGGTAAAGGAAAAACCTGCCTGCCGGCCGGGATCCCACAAGGGTCCCCGGGGAAGGAAATGAGGACGCGCTGCACAACAGGCGGCTAGGAGCTCGCGCTCCGACTCGGTTCCCAGCAGACGACGGCCGGAACCCGGGCTCGACAGGCCGGGGAGGGCAGGGAAAGCTGAGAGAAGGGCGCCCACAGGAAAATGGCCAGAGGAAACCGAGGCCGACCTCAGGAACTGCGTCGCCCTCCCAGTTAACGCCTAGGCGCCAACGAGAGCGTAGAACAGAAGTGCAGGTATGGGGAGAGTACGGCAAAGCTGACGGGGCGGACGGGCTGCTGACGTGATGAGAAAGGGTGCGCAGGGCGGTGGGAAGCGGAGCTCGGCCGGCGGGTGGTAGGCAGGTGTGAGGAGCAGCGCGGGCGCAGCGCGCAGAGC